CATCACTCGTACTCGTGAGTGTCGCCTCTCCTTGCGCGTTGGCAACCTCCCCCACCCCCTCCCCCGCACCCGCAGGCGGCGCATCGTCGCGAGCAGCCCGCTCGCGGTCGCCGCGCCGCCCTCCCCGCCGTGCCGGCACGCGCAGATGGCTGCGGAGAAAGGCTCGGTCGAGGGAGGCACGCCGAGCGCGCGGAAGCGGTCGAGCAGCCCGATGGCGTGCGCCTGTACCCACACCGCCACTTGTTGAAGCGACGCGCTGCGCAGAGGGCTGCGCGTGGCCGAGCCGTGTCGTTGACGGCGCCGTCTGCGCCGACTTATCGCAAGCAGCGATCGCCGCGGTGAGGGCCCTCACCACGAGGGGCTGACTCGCCCGTCGCGCGTCCTGCAGTCGAGAGCGCCCGAGATCAGCCCAGATGAGCCGAGATGAGCCGAGATGAGGCTCGCCCGGCGCCGGTCCTGCTCAATCCACTTCTCAAGGTGGCCGCACACGGCCAGCGCCTGGTGCACATGTCTCGGACCTGTCGTGGACGTGTCACGCACGCGCCAGCCGCGCCGCGCCCGAGCAGCGCCTCCTCCCAACCTCGTGTCAAATCTCGTGTCATCTCGTGAATCTCGTGCAAAATCTCGAGCAGCGCCTCCTCCCAACGGCCCGGCTGGGCCGCGCAGCCGCGCAGCGCGCCGACGAAAATGCCACCGCGCGCAGGCAGCCCTGTCTCCTCGAGCGCCGCCTCCAGCAGCGCGAGTCCGCCCCCCGGCTCCCCGCTCGCCGCAGAAACCGCCGCGGTGAGAGCAGAACCGGTGAGAGCAGAGCCGTCGGCGCGGGACAGAGCGCGCGCATGGCCCGAGCGTCCCACGGGGCCTCCGTCTCGGCCTCCTCCGCCTCCGCCTCCGCCTCCTCCGCCTCCTCCTCCGCCGCCGCCGCCGCCGCCCCCGCCAGGCGCGTGCGCGAGACGCGCCGGCATGGCGAGGCGCGCCGGCGGGTGTTTGGCGGCGCCGAGCGAGTCGAGTTCGGGCAGCAGCTGGCGCGCGAGCTGCGCCCCGAGCGGCGCGGCGGCGGAGGCGCGCATCGCGGCGGCGTACGACTGCTCGTCCGGCGCCGGCCCCTTTTGCTTCATCATCGTCAGAAGCGAGAGGCACTCGGACCAGCGGTGGCGGCGCGCGAGGGCGTCGAGCACTGCATTGTGCGCGGTGATAGACGGCCGCACCCCGCGCACGTCCATCTCGCGGAGGGACTGCCGCGCGAGCCCGATACGTCCGCGAGCAGCCGTCTTGAGCGTCACCGCAATCAGCTCCTCGCGGCCGAGCCCTCGCTCGCACCCCGCGAGTTCGGTGACGAGGCGGCGCGCCAGGTCGCCCGGCACCTTGTCGAGCAACCGCAGGTGGCGGCGGCGGTAGCATGGCCCCTCGCCGCAGCAGGGGCGTAATTTCAGGAGCGACTGCGCCTCGGTGAGCCGGGTGCGCAGCATGGGTCACACAAGCGTGGGCCACACTTGCGCAAAGCAGTTTTTCTTTTTTTGAGCTCACTTGGGAGCGAGTTAATGCGCGGTTGGGGGAGCCAGAAAAGGGGCGTCCGGCCGGAGCCCGTAGCGCCCTGCACGGCGGGGCCTCGTGACCTACATCGATGTAGATAAAGAAACCACACTGAGCAGTGCACACACCACGAGATATGGCTGGATGAGCGTCCGGCCGGAGCCCGTAGCGCCCTGCACGGCGGGGCCTCGTGACCTACATCGATGTAGATAAAGAAACCACACTGAGCAGTGCACACACCACGAGATATGGCTGGATGAGCCTTCGGCCAGACGTCCCCCCCCTCGACGAGTCGCGACGTACGGCTCTAGTCGAGTAACACCACATATCTCGGGACAAATAGCACAGGGGTCCTCAATCCCTGCCCCCACAATCGAAGGTAGTGGGGCTGCACGTCGGTTGCAGGCAGTCCTGCTGCGGATGCGGGTTGCGCGCGGCGGGCTCAAGACCGCGGCGGGGGTAGTTGCGTAAGTACTCGAAGGTGCGCTGGCAGGCGTGCTCGGCCGAGCCAAGATAGGGGCCGCTCGAGTTGACCCCCAGGGAGGAACGCGTCCATGCCCCCTGAGGGATCTGCGGAATGCGCAAAGCGACGAGCGGGAATGCGGATGCGGTATTCCCAGGTAGAGGCTGGTGATGGCGAGGGTCTCGCCGAGTCGACGGCGCAGGTGCCTCAATCCTGGCCTCCGGCGGGACGCCTCGCCGGCCGTGGATCCCCGGCGTGATGGGGGCCTCAGAGCTCAATGCGCAAACCGAGATGCGGTGAGCGAGCGCCCTAGCCTGAGCGCGCGCGGCGGGAAGCCGCGGCGCTGGCGGCAGGGTCGGTGACGGTGGATAGCGTGTTGGGCGAAAAAAGGGCGGAGTCGCGACGCTCCGCCGCTGCCACGTCCGGCCGGAGCCCGTAGCGCCCTGCACGGCGGGGCCTCGTGACCTACATCGATGTAGATAAAGAAACCACACTGAGCAGTGCACACACCACGAGATATGGCTGGATGAGCCTTCGGCCAGACGAGGGGAGCTCCCTCTCTCCCCACCCCGAGGACCTCTGCCCAAGCTGATGTCTCCGACATGAGGCGCGTTGCACTTGCCAGTGCTGCCCTGGCCTTCTGTCTGCCCGCCCAATGGGTGGCAGGTGCCCCTGCTGCTGTGGCATGCCTCACGGCTGCGACTGGCCGGCGCCTCGGCGCGTCAGCTCGGCTCGGCGTAGCGATAGTGGCCAGCGCAACTCGCTTGGACTCAACGCTCAGCCACAGGAGCTCCCGCACGCGCTGGCGCGAGTCATGGCCGGCATGCAACGCTCAACAATGCTCGCCTCGCCTCGCGCAAATGCGACCGTCCCCGCAGCCGACAGTCCACCGCCTGCTAAAGAAGCACAGCGACGAATGCGGCACCGGCGACGCATGGCAGGCTGGTCATGACGCAGTTGTAGGGTGTTGTGTGTCGTCAGAGTGACTCTCTGTGTGTCAGGGATAGTCAGGGCCGTCCATCAGAGCTCCAGTAAGCTCGGAGACACCCCATTAGCGCGGCTCGACCTCTTTGAGTCACTGCCTTCCCGGCGGTTTGGCTGTAGAGCCTCTACAACAAACTCTACAGCAAAATCGCGCTCTACATCGCTCTACAACGCACGCAGTTCGTCACGCGGCGGATGTAGAGCTCTACAGCTCTACAGCGCTCCACAGCGCTCTACATCTCTACAGCTCTGCAGCGCTCTACACTCTACATCCTCTACACCCTTCCTCAGCTGACAGCCTGACAGCAAACCCCGGACAGCGCCTGACAGTGCCCGACAGCCTGACAGCGCTCCTGACAGCACTTTCTCTGATGACAGTCTGACAGCACGTATCTGACAGCCTGACAGCAGAGCCTGACAGGCGAGGCGCTCCGTCGCTGTCAGGCCCTAACGTGACAGCCTGACAGCTGCCTGACAGCCCGACAGCACACACAGTGGCCTGACAGCACTCAGCAGCGCTGACAGCCCGACAGCAGCACAGACCGTACACAGTCAGACCCCCCCGTAGAGCCTCTTTCTTGTGCCCCATGAGGGTATAACAAAACTATTACATGCAAAGACATGTACATGCACATGTGAGTGTGGTCCATGCAGTCATGGGATGGTCATGGGTCTCTCTCTCAACCCTCCCGCCCCACCTCTGCGGACCCCTCTCTAGACTCTAGCACCGGCGGCTGTGCTACTACAAATGTGAAGCTACCAGCTAGCCTTCTGGGGCCCTACAGTCATATGCCTACGGCGTCTGGGTGGGGTGGCCGCCGCCGTCTGTGCCGCCGCCGCGGCCTGCGCCTGCGCCGCCATCTGCGCTCCCCAGGCGGCCGCCCCTGCCGGCGTGATCACGCCGTAGGAGGGGGCAGCTGCGTACCCGCTGGTCTCCTCTTGATAGTGTCATAAGTGTGGCTGGTGTGTGTCAGAGCCTGACAGCACCCCGACAGCTAGCCCGACAGCACCACCTGACAGCACCTGACAGTAACAGCCCAACGTCTGACAGCAGCAGCAGCCTGACAGCTCTGACAGCTCCGACAGCGTCTGACAGCAACACCCGACTCACAGCTCCGACAGCACCCGACAGCTACAGAGCCCCTCGCCTGTCAGACACGCACCCGACAGCACCCGACAGCACTGACAGCACCTGACAGCTGGTCTGACAGAGGCACCTGACAGTGCCTGACAGCTGCCCGACAGCCGACAGCCCGACAGATCACCTGACAGCACCTGACAGCCTGACAGCCAGGGCTCAGAAAGCGGACTGGTCGGCAGGTTTAGGAAGGAGGCGACGCAGCAGGCGTCCACCCCCCGGGGCAGGCGCGCGGCTCGCGCGCCGCCCCACCCACGCCGGCCCGCGAGGGCCGGTCGTTCATCGCCATGTCCCGGGACGTCCAGCGTGGACATGTCCCGGGGGAAGCTGTGACTAAGGGCACCCCGTTCCTCCTATCCCCGCACTCCCTCAGCAGAGGGCTTCCATGCCGCGGTCGGTGTTTTTCTTTCGGTTTTTCGAGGTGAAGCTCAATCTTCTCCAAACCCTCCAGCACCCGTCACCCAACGGCTGTGGGGACCTGGAATCCAACTGCATCTAAAAACGGCGGGCGGTGAGCCGGCTAAAAGGTTCGCTGTCGCGCTTGTACAATACGGGTGGCCGCAGTATGCTGCGCAAGTCGTCGGCAACGCTTCTCTCGAGGCGTTGTTTGAGCACCAGTGCGAACCCAGTCGGATGGGCAAGGCGATGGAGCGCGGAGATCCGAAACTGGATCTCTATGGAGAAGGGAGGGCAGGCGCACCAGCGCGGCCCCCACTGCTCGGCCCTGACCACACCCCTGACTAGCAGACCGAGCACCGTGCCCCTGACGCCAGCGGGATGCTGCGCAGGAGAAGCGCCAAAACCGTGACATGCCCACGCGTGATCAGAACTTTGACCACGAGAAGTGAAGCTCCCGAGGCCCGAGAGTCGGCTCCGCGTTGCTCTTCCCCACTCCTCTTGTGCATTCGCAGGTGGAGTATTCACAAAGACCCCAAGCGGCACGTCCGGCACTTTGTCACGTGGGGCTACTCCGCCGCCACCCAGCGCATCCTCTTCCCCGACCTCGCCCTCATCTTCTCCTCCTCTGCCTTGTTGACCGCGTTCAACCACGTCGCCGAAATCCCTCTGTACATGCCGCCCGAGCCGATCGTGCTCCCATCCGTGGCGCTCGGCCTTCTCATCACGTTCCGCACCAACACCGCTAACATGCGCTACAACGAGGCACGTTGCCTGTGGGGCGAGATCGTCAACACCTCGCGCGACATCACGCGCATCGCCCTCCAGTGGCTGCCGCAGAGCAACGATGACAAGTTTGGCAAGGCGCAGTCCGCCAAGGTGTGCCGGATGACCAAGGCGTTCAGCATCGTGCTGAAGTACCATCTGACGATCGACGGCGGCAACCCGGACTCGCGCTTCTCGCGCTCTGACCCCGACCTGCCCGCCTTGGTCAAGGAGGAGCTGCGCAAGGAGTTGAGCACGGTTTGCTTCAGCCCGTCCGACCCGGTGCAGGCGCAGGAGCTGGAGGATTGCCTCAACTCCTCGCACCGGCCGCTGTGGGCGATCCAGCAGATGTGCGACGCCTCGCACGCCGGCATCTGGGCGCGGTGCGGGGACCGCCCCGACCGCGCCCTCCGTGACGGGCAGCTCCTCGAGCGTCACTTCCAGCGCCTCTGTGGCGCGATGGGCGCGTGCGAGCGCATCCACCGCACGCCCATCCCCACCGCTTTCACGCGGCACTCGTCGCGCTTCCTGATGGTCTGGTGCAACGCCATGCCGCTTGTGCTCTGGCCCATCGTTGGCACTTCGACGCCGCTGGCGGCGACGTTCGTGTCGTGGGCCATGCTCGGCACCGAGGACATCGGCGTGCAGGTGGAGGAGCCGTTTGACGTGCTGCCGCTCTTCCAATACTGCCAGGGCATCGCCGCGACGTGCGACGGGATGGTGAAGGATGCGCACAACAACATGATCACCCTCTCAAAGGACCTCGAGTTCCAGCGTACCGGCCCGCAGATCCTCGTCGAGGACATGGTGGAGCCGAGCTTCAACAACATCAACAGGCGGACGGCGGCGGCACACTGAGTGTCCGTCTAGGTCGAGCCGGGCGCGATTTGCGCTGCTGAGCAGTTGGACTGCTCATACATCTGCTGGCCTGGCCCCGGACCTCTGGCGCAGGTCCTTGCGTTGTGTTTGTTGCGCTCTCCGCTCCTTTTGCCGGAGTCGGGTCTAGCCCAGCCTGTCTTCTCTGTCTACTTCTCCGCCCTCCCCATCCTCTTGCGCCGCGGCGGTTGCTGCATGGTGTGAAGTTTATGTGGCGGAGACGGCGCCGCGCCGGGGACCTTGGTGCTAGGGCGCCGGCCGGAGCGCGGAGGCGGAGCGCTAGACGTACACCGCGTATTAGGCAGTTTTCCCTCCTCTACCAATCCCTCTGTATTTGTAATTTGTTCAAACGAATATTTATTTAAATCAAAACGGCCCCACAAGCGCGATACTGCAGGACGTGTATCCCCGCAAATTGGCCACACGTCGTGTTGCAAATTGGCCACACGTCGAAGCTCGAACAGGCAAACGGAAACGAGCGAGACGAGCGAGACCGGCCCTGTGGTTGCTTGCGGCAACCAACACCGCGGCGACTGGTGCAAGCTGCTTGAACGGCGGACGCTGGTCACCGATGGGCCATACGGCTCTGCCTTTCCCGCGCGCGTCCGCGCCGCCCGCGTCCGAGAGTTTGCCGTCGGACGACGGGCGCGGAGGCGACGCAGCAGTGGGTGCCCTCGCACCCGAGCTTCCCGAAGCCGCAATCGGCCGTCTGCTGGTCGAAGCCAGCCCGGCAGCAAGCCTGCCTCGAGCCGCAAAAGTGGCACGGGCCAGCCCTCTCGTGGCACGGCCACCAGCACTCGCGCACCCGCTCGGGCTCCGCCTCCTCGGATGGCAGCGAGCGGACAGCCTCCGGCTCCGTATCTCCGCGCGAGAGGCTCGCTGCCCGCCGTCCGTACCGGACGAGCGCCCGCGCCCAGTAGCAGTCGACGACGTCGTCCGAGAGGCCCTCCTGCACAAAGTGCTGCCCCGCGGCGCCGATCCGAGCAGCGCGCGAGAGAGCCGCCGGCAGCTGCGAGGTGAGGTTGAGGAGGGCGGCTGCCTGTCCGCGCACGTCCGGCGGGAGCTTCACAAAGTGCCGCCCGTCCGCGAGCGCCGGGTGGAACCACTCGGCGCACTCGCCTGCAGGGGGGGAGAGGCCGGCTGGGAGCCTCGCCGCGCGGCTCAAGACTCTCTCCCCCCCCCCTCTCTCTGCGCGCGGTCACCAGTCTCGTCCCCGAGCAGCGCCGCGACTGGAGAGCCGCACAGCAGCTGGTAGCGCAGACTCGCGCTGTACGTGGTGCCGCGCAAGTGGAGGAGGTAGGCGGCGCCGCACAGCTCCTCGCGAGAGATGGTCAAGTTCCTGTCCGCCCGGCCGCCGCCGAACCGATCCACGCTCTGCACGTCCAACTCGACGCCGTTGGCCGCCAGCAGCGGCGCCACCCGCCGCAGCCTCTGGATCGCCCTCTCGCGCGGGCCTCCTGCGTGGCCGCCGGCGCGCATCGCGCCGCGCCAGACGAGCGCGCGCCGCCTCTCGCGCCACGGCGAGTGCCACGCGGCGGCGGCGGCGATCTGCCGCCGGGCAGTGTCCCAAGGCTCCCGCCGACCGCTCTCCGCGTACTGCACCCAAGTGAA